GACGCCTTTCTCTATAGTCTGCCGGTGCCTGAATCTCTCGCCCCAGCCACCGACTTGCAGCTGCTGCGCTTGCTTGTGGAGTGCGAAAATGATATGCGCTTGTGGATAATTTTTCATCTTTCTCTGAACATGCATCTAGCTACGGCGGTAGATTGACTAAAGCTAGAAAGCTTTTTAATTCTCAGCTCCTTCAATTTCTTATTCTAATTCTCATAACAAAAAAAGTTCTAAAACTAGAATGTGGTCCAAATATAAAAGCATACCAAGTTACTAATATAGTACTCCGTATATTCTTTTTATTACTTTTATTATGAATCTAACATTGATCATCCCGATATCTGATTCATATCTTTTAATTTACACTTTTTTCTTATTTTTTCTTTTACAAAATTTTTTTAAATTGTATTTACGATACATCTTGTGAATTTCAATATGCGAATTCAATGTGATATTACACTTTTGAAGCATTTATTGATTTAAAAATCGCAAACTCTGTTATTCGAGTATCAAGACATTTTCATTGAGCATCAAACTATCTTTATTAAACATACGAACTCTACAATTGAGTATACAAAATTTCAAAACTTGATATCTTAGCAAGACATATTCATTAAATATCATATTTTCTCTTTTTGAGTATCATTATGATGTGTATTGAGTATTATAAGTCTCAAATGAGCAATAGTGTACTTTTAGTGAGCATCCGACCTATTTTATTGAGTATTAGGAGGCTAACAATGAGTATTATGATATTTGCTTCATATATCCTAATTCAATTTTTATCTTATTTTTTGCTTTTGTAAAAACTTATTAAATTGTATCTATAATATACTCCTATAAATTTCAATATGTGAATTTAATGTAATATGATACTTTTGAAACATGCATTGACATGACATTTTAAGACGAGCATAACATCAGTACCGAATGAGCATACGTAACTTACAAAATGTTCATTGATATGAAAATTGTAAGGTTTGTTAATTTAACATGATGACATTTTCATGATTTCTGTTAAATGAGCATTAATGAATTTTTAATGTGCATCACACATATTATATTGAGTATTAGGAGTCTAATATTGAGCATCATGCATGATCCCTGCTTCATAAATTCTAATTCACTTTATTTTTGTTATTTCTTCTTTTATAAAAAATTATTCAATTATATTTGTGATCAACTCCTATCAATTTCAATATGCAAATATAATGTAATTTAATACTTTTTGAAACATGCATTATATAACATTCTAAAATGAGCATAACATTAGTATCAAATGAACATACATAACTTACAAAATGAGCATTAATATGAAATCTGTAAGTTTTGTTAGTTAAGTATCGAGACATTTTTAGTGAGCATCAAACCCCGGCTATTGAGTGTTAATTAGAATCGTGCGATTGAGTATCATGATTTGTGCTCTCGTGTCTATAATCACAACCAAAAAATGACGACATTTTAATAATTTAAACAAAACTCGCGATTTTTGCTAAATGAGCAGTATTGCACTTGTAGTGAGCATTAGACTTATTTTGTTGAGTATTAGCATCCTAACAATGAGCATCTTAATTGATACTTGCTTCATACTATCTATTTTTTAATTCACTTTTTTTTTTCTTTTTTTTTCTTCTTTTATAAAAACATACGGAGTATTAAACTATATCTATAGAACCTATACTCAATTCTTATGAATTTCAATGTGCAAATATAATGTAATATACTAATATGGTACTTTTGAAATATGCATTGATATAAAATTTTAAAAATGAGCGTAACATCAATATCAAATGAGCATACGTAATTTACAAAATGAGTATTATAACAATATCAAATGAGCATACGTAATTTACAAAATGAGTATTATAACAATATCAAATGAGCATACATACTTATGAAATGAGCATCGAAAAATTCAGAAGGCTCATTTAAAATCTCTAGTATGCTCGAATATTAAATGAGAATATATAACTTATGAAATGAGCAACAAAAAATATAAATTGAGCATTACGCCAATATCAAATGAGTATTACACCAATATCAAATAAACATTACGCCAATACAAAATGAACAGTGAAAAATTTAAAAAGCTCATTTAAAATTTCTAGTATGCTCAAATATCAATTTGTGTATGTTCATCTCAAGATAACATAAAGAAGCATCAATTCCTTATTTCAGACTAACCAATTTTATTGTGCTTATTTTCAAATAAAGTTAGAGGAACAGAGACAAAAGGCATATATAAAAATAGAAAACTTAATCAGAAAAAGAAAAAGAAAAGTTAAAGTTAGAAAATTTGAAGTTCAAAATTATAGGAAAAGAGAAGAGTTAAAAAAAGTTAAAGTTAGAGGAATTGAAGTTCAAAATTAAAAGATAAGAAAAAAAAGAGAAAATAGAAGCAAAAATAAAAGAAAGTAAAAAACGAGAAGCAACGAAAGAAGATAAAGAAGCGACGGCTTTGCTGAAGCGACGGCTTTGCTCCTTCACAAGGTGGCCATAGGAATCAGCTCAGATGCTCCAACTAGGACTCGGTCCGAAAAAACAAAAACCGAAAATCGAATCAAATCATACCGAACCGTAACCAAATAAAACCGAACCGCTAACAAACCAAAACCGAATGTAAAAAACCGAATCGAACCGTAGTTGTTTGGTTCGGTTTTGATTTTTACTCTTCAAAACCGAACCGAACCGAACAAACCGAACTAATTAAAATATAAAATTTATTTGTCAATTGTTAAGATTTAATCCTAACTAATCCTAATATCATTAATAGTCTTTGGTTTTCTTGTGCTAGAGAAATAATGTTTGTGTTATGTTTAGTTTAGTTTATAAATTCATTTACACATTCATTGTCCGTAATAATGTAGCTATACGGAATGATGATAATATGTTTTTACTAGTTATTAGTATTAATTAACTTTTATTTTTATTTAACTTAAAGAATTCATATTGATGAAACAATAAATATTCATCTCAACTATATCACATAGAACGTATATAACTATATACTCATGAACTTTTTTTGAACTAGTTACAAACAATGTAGATTAATAATATATACTTTTATCTCTCTCGCATACTCATATAATTCAAGACATTTATTTATTTTCATTTTTATTTTATTTGTTGTAGTGTGCTTGCATTCTTTATGTAATACTATGTATATGTTTGATCCCAAAGTATTATAACAATTTTAAATCAAATGATAATTTTTTTGGGAAAAAACCGAAAAAACCGAAACCGAATCGAAACAAACCGAACCAATCAAACCGTGGTTCCAAGTTTTGAAGTGTAAAACCGAACCGAAACCGAACCGAACTTTTTACTTTGATTCTATATTTGGTTTTAGGTCAAAACCGAACCGCAAGAACCGAACCCACCCCTAGCTCCAACTACAAAACGGAAGATGATAATGATGTTCCAGCTCAGGCTATTAGGCACTACAAAAACGCCGGGGACCGGGAGAAGTAAAGGAAGATCAACATTCAAAGTGTTAATAATTGCAAAAATACCCGGTTGTACGGTGAGGACTGTACAACCGGGTGTATGGTATATTTTGCGTCCGACGGCGGGCAAGTTGAGAAAGAGGAAGGCTGATATTCCAGATTTGTGCCGATTATGTCATGAAGAGGAGGAATCAACGACACCTAATTAAAAACTGTAGAGTTTGTGACTGACTTTTGGAGCAAAGCTGAATTGGATTTTCGGTGCCTTGCGAATTCATTCCATGAGCGGATGAAACAGCTTTTTAATAATATGGCTGGAGAGGAATTGTGCAAGCTCATCTCAATGATGTGGAGTTTATGAAAGGAATGCAATGAGGTGGTATGGTATAATCACAATTTTAATGTTTTGGAGGTGATTAATATTGGAGTCACAATGTTACAGGGGATGGTGAATGACTCAAGAGTCAAGACAAGGCAAAATCGAGCAATGGTGAAAGAAGTGGTGACAAGATAACCAAATCCAATTCTGGGAAAATCAATATAAATGTTGATGGGGCCCACAGATGAATGTCGAGATCATAACGACGACTTTATTGGAGGAGGATACGACTCTTACAAAGGCTATCGGGGTGAGGGAGGCGATTGGCTAGGCTAAAAAGTAGGGCTGGGAACATGTGATAGTTGAGACCAATGCTCAAGTCACCACAATCAGATTGGAGGAGGAGTTGGGCGTGTCTTATTTTGATTTCGTAATTGATTACATTAGACAATCTCTTAACACTGCCGCTAGTTTTGTTGTCCAAATTTATAAATGAACCGTGAATCTTGCAACCCATATACCGAGTGTGAGTTTTGTTCATGTTGTAATACTCCCTCCGTTTCTAGTTGGTTGACACACTTTCCTTTTTTGGACGTTTCAAAATGAATGCCACACTTCTTTATTTCCTTATTTGGTAAACAAATCTTTACCTAAACAGTGCAAAACAGTGTCAAACAGTGTTCAAACAATGCCAAACAGTGTACTCTACAGTAAAATTTACCCCTCAATAACTTTTTCCCCTTAAATCTTGACAAGTCAAACTGTGTCAACCAAATAGAAACGGAGGGAGTATAAGTTAACTGGTGAACAATTGCCTAGATTAATGAAGTTGGTTTTTTACACTACAAGCATATTTTGAAAGAACTTTTTTGGGTTATATTATTGAGTTATACTTTGTATTATGGAGTAGTGTATATTTATTTCTTGTTTGGTAACATTGAAATTTGTTGAATTAAAGTTGAAATTGATTAAATTATGTTCAAATTGACTAAATTCTAGTTGAAACAGCTCAATTGATTGAATTATTAAAAAAATTATTAATAAAATAAATAAAAAATTATACTTTGTATTTCATATGAAGAATAACTAAAATGAAACTTTATTCTGATTTCGAGTAATTCAATCATATGGATAATTCAATCTTATTTATTTATTTTGATTGTTATACAATTAACCTTGGAATTAAAAGTTGCATATTTAATGTAGATGTTGGTCAACACATGGACTCTCTCTCTAGGGTTTGGCTTCTATGCCGCCTAGTGTACCTGTTTTCTTTCCCAATTCGTTTTAGATTCAGCCTTTGTTGCAAAGCTGGGACGTAACAGACGTGGTGCAGACGTGTTCTCTTGGTTTGCTTTCGTCAAGTGTAGAGGCAACAATCTCGCTTGTTGTCTGGTTCGAGTATTAGACGCAGAACAGGGCTTGGTTTGCAGGGAAGTTCTTGGTCGGTGTTTTGATTCTTCTCAGAAGCTATGGAGGAGGTCGTGGAACAATATAGAAGAATGGTTATGGAAAAAAATAACAACTGAGGAAGAAGAGGTCATTGCTCTAGGCACAAAAGAGGTTGAGTTTCCGGTGGTGGGTGTCATCCGTACAGACCGGAAAGTTAGATTCCAGGCAGTACAGGACCTGTTTGCATTGCTCCGGATGCCAGGAAAAGGAATGGCAGTACAACAAATTGATGAACAAAGGTATCTATTCACTTTTTACCATAAAGTTGATATGAATCATGTTATGGAGGATGGTCCTTGGCTGTTTGAGCAGAATCTGTTATTGCTAAAGGCGGTTGGTCATAATGATATACTACATAAAATGAATTTGTTTGAAGCAGAGTTTTGGGTGCAAGTGCACAATGTTTCGTATAAGTTTATGAATGTAGACACTACTAGAAGAGTGGGCAATTACATTGGGGAATTCATTAGTTTTGATGAAAGCCATTTTAAGGAAAAATGGAGTTCATACTTGAGAGTTAGGGTGAAGATGGATGTGAGAAGGCCCCTGAAAAAGGGATCTACCTTGACCAAGAAGGGTGAAGGACACTGGGTAGATTGTAAGTATGAAAAATTACCGAATTTTTGTTTTATCTGTGGAATCATGGGACACTCTAAGAAATTTTCCCCTTTGAAATATGTGGAAGATATTAATCTGGAGGAAACTTTTAGTGCTGATATTAGAGCAGGTGGTGGGGGAAAGACTAGTCCCACAAGAGGTAGTAAGTGATTGGGGGACAAACAGGGGGGTCCGAATCGTCACAGGAGAGCTCATCAAGAAGATGAAGGCATTATGCGACAGGGACGCTGGGGGAGTGTTGATGAGTCAGAAAGTAGCGGCACAAAGGATGAGGATAGGAGCAGTGCAGGGGAGGTCTCGGTTGACCAGAAGCGCAGGAGAGTCTGGAAGGATCCGGCACAAGAAAACAGCTCAGGAGAGGAGATGGCACTGGACAAAGCAAAAAACGGAGAGGAGGCGGGTCTGATTTCCTAGACCCGCCTGATGTGTTCATGAAGTTGCGGGTGCAGAAGTTCCACGGTGGTGTTTATTTTGTTATTGTTTTTTATGTTTCGTTTCACGTGCAGACTGTTGTTTTTGTTATTTATTTTGTTGGGATTTGTAAGACTCTTGCATTAGGCTCGGGTGATGAGAGTTTTGCAGTAACCATCTATGAAGCACGGATGCTTCACTAGGGTGTCGTATCGGCGTATCGGAAACGTTCCCATATCCGATACTCTAGGATACTCGTACTGTACGTTCTCGGGCCGTATCTGTAATTTTTAAAAGTTTCCACTTTTTTGGTAATTATTTTAAACTTTTGGATACTCGTATCCTGACGGATACCCATATCAACTTTATAAAAAAAATCTTCCAAAAAAAACATTTTTAATAAAACACTCAAAATTTACATAATAAAATCCTAAAAAAATGAGAAACAAAAAATGATTTTTACCTTATTTTTATGTGGTACACAACTAATGGGTCTATTCCTAATTCATCCATCCCTAATTCTAATTATCCCTGGAAATTAATAGCTCCAACGAAAATATGTATTAGAACTTTTAAAATATTGTTTTCTATCTTCATTATTATAGAACTTTGAGTACTTGCACTTTTAATTTCAAATTTGTAGTTGTTTGACTTATTTCTCATTTTAAATTAATGACTTATTGAACTATATTTATATTTCGAGGTGCACTAGTGTACATGAGATAAAATATGAACTTATTTTTAAGTATCTTGAAAATGTAAAATGTTTCAATGTCATGAATGCGTAGACGTCAGAGGATAATATATGTTGTTTTAAAAAAAATTGTATTTTTTATATTTATAAATACACCCTGTAACTTTTAATATTTATAAATACACCCACATACCTTTTAATATTTATAAATATGGCCCTGTATCCGTATACTACTGTACTTCTTTTTTTGTTTTGTCGTATCCACGTACCCGTTTCCGCGTTTCCGCGTACCCGTATCAGTGCTACATAGATAACCATTGTTGGCTCAATTATGCCCAATTTAGGATCAGCGAATTATACTGCTTTTTTAAAAGTGGTTAACTCAGAGTCTGGCCCAAAGGGCGGGTGATTATGGGTGATACTCTTTTTATTTTAGATCCTGAATGCTTTTATTCTAATATAAGCCCTTCATCCAAAAAAAAGTGTACATGTTGGCCAATAAGGGCATAAGGCTACCAAAGTACGGAGTACCAAACACTAGCATACCGTAATTCGTAAATTTCGGTTTTTGTTTTTTTGTGCCTCGAGCCCTCTCAGGGAGCAGGACTGCAGAAATATACAAATACATGGGTCATGGGAAGATCCCGAGTCGCGACACGATTTTAAACAGAAGAAAAATAGAAACCGACAAACTAGGGGTTCTGAGAAAGATGAATCCAGAGAGAACCTTCGGATTGTCATCCAAGAGGTTGAAGATTGGGGAGGCGGCGGCGGCGGTGGAAGTGTTTTCTGAATACGACGAAGAAGAGGAAGAGGAGACGGAGTCGGAGAGTGTAGAGATAGGTTCTGGGAGCTATAAATACATCTACAATGAGGAAGACTACGATGGTTATGACGAGGAGTTTAAAAGGGAAGTGAAACGATATATCGACGCCTTGAATGAAGTTGGAGTACGCAATTCCTCGAAACTATATTCGATTTATCCATTAATTTGCTTACCTTTTTGTTGTTGTTTAGCATAAACATCCGCCAATTCTCTTAAGCAGTTGCTTCTATTTCGATTCAGCCCTACAACATAGACTTCATGGTGCCGGATTATTATATTTGCAATGGCGCTTTTCCAATACCTCTGCCACCAGGTCCAGAATCCCATGATTTCGATCACTACGCTTATAGAGAGATGCAGAAATCCTTACAGTTTGCTATTGATAAACACAATGAAGGGAAGGTATTGCCGTATTGTTATAATCACACACTATTTCGAATTTTCGATCACTGTATGTTGTCAGCTTTGTCCTACTTATAAGTTTAATTGAGTATTGTTTGTTATTACTCAGGATGCAAAACTTGTGCTTCACAAGACGTTGAGGGCTAATTTTAAAAGAGCATGTGGGTTTATCTTTTTCATAACATTTCAAGCCACGGATATTGCTTCTGGTGAAATGAGCATTTATCAAACATGTGTGGTGGATGATGTAGTTGATAAGATCATGACCTTAAGCGAGTTTCACCGGGTGGAAACTGAGGAGTTGAAGGTGAGTTCAGAAAATATATGGAGTATGTGAATTATGTGCGACAGCGCGTTGATGAAGTGGATGATCGCATGTACTAATTGCATCTCATAATGATAGCGTATATGATGCAAAGTGTGCATCATCATTCACATCAAGCATGCTGCTTTAGGAACACATTGACATACTCCCAAAATTTACTCTTAAAGTCTTATTTGAGTATTTCTTTTACTTTATTAGAGTAAATTCTTGCTCTTAATAATCACTTGATAATCATCATCGTAGTTTTCTCCTATTTGTAAATTTTTCATTCTTGAAAGTTATAAAGATATTGTTTTCTTCCTCTAGTGTTTATTAAATCTCGCAAGATTTCATCTCTTCGAAATTTTAACCTTGGGTAATTAGTTCTGAAGTAAATGTGAAGCGAATGGATAGTTTTTAAATCCTTTATTTTTCTGAAACTGGGTGTGGCTGCTGGGATCCATAGTCGAGTATAGATCCAGAGTATGAGTGTTGTCTTTTCTCCTGACTTATTGTGTTTGACATTAAAGAGTGCTGTAGTCACAAGTTCAATCCTTCCCAGAAGAAGTTCTATATTATTTGAATGTCCAGAATGAAGTTCTCATATTCATGGAAAAGAAGGATTTTAGTAGTCAAAATCATTGATTTGTTTACGTTTTTTATTAAATATAAAGGAAAGATATACTTGGAAAGGCAATAAAGATTTATACTGCATTTGCAAAAATAATGTATTGATGTCAAACTGGCAACATGTTTTTGGGTGGGAGAGTATATTGCAGCAAAGATGTAGGCGCCAACTTCTCAATGGTCTTTTCACTTAATTTTCAAATAATCTAGTCTCATAGTCCTCATTAGGATTTAGGAATGCTATTTTCAGTTTTGCTCGAATTTTATGCTCTTTACCAAACATTACAGTTAGTTATTTGACTCAATCAAACAAGTTATTTGGCTTGAAAAATGTACCAACCACATAAGGCCCTCTAGCCTTTCTCTTTTCTGTTTGTAATGTTATGTGTATAAAACACCGTTGTAACTCGTGAATCTGTTTGTGTAAATTGCAGGGTGCATGGGATTTGGAATGTTGAGTATTTGTGGCGTGGGTACTGAGATAGTGAGATGTGCCAAAAGCTTTAGTTGTTTTTTAAGAATGTAATGTATGCTGCCAAAAGCTTTAGATGTTTTTTTTATAATGTAGAGCCTCTTTGGTGACATTGTTTTTCGGCTTATGAGGCTTATCAACTAACTTTTTCACCAAACATAACTTTTGATTTCGTGCGTTGAATTATTTATTAATACGAAAACGTAAGTTTGAAGTTACTTTTGAAAAATTTGTTAGGATGTTGTTACTTGAAGTGAAATTTATTGGTCTGGTCTAGTCTGAACTGGTCTGTTAATAAATGTCTAGTCTTTGTGTATTTTATAACTTTCCAAATCTGGTTTGGTCTGATCTGGTACGGAAAACAGTTCAATTAAAAACATCCCAAGTCACATTTTTGTTACTACCTCCGTCCTACTTAAATGTCCGTGTCCTCTTTCTACTGTCAATGTAAATTGTTCTTAATATTTTATTTTATATATTCAACTTTTATCAAATTTTATTTTTCATTTTGCGACTTTATAAATTTTTAATGTAGTTCTTGAATATATAAGTTTATTTACTAAAAATATGCTTATAAATCATAGGGATCCGTTAACCGAGGGAATAATATGCATAATTAATCTTTTTTTGGAAATGAGCTACAATTTAATTATATCTCACGGCATGTACAATCTCTAATCTTTATCACCTTATAAAAACAACGGTATTAACGAAATTTACAAACGTCTGAAAGCTTAAAGGAGAACAACACCTAAAATTGAGATAGTCCCCAACGGTTGTCAAAAGCTTACGAGTTTTCCTCAATCCTCACAAGGATGAAAAATGATAAATTGGGTACTAGGTTATGTTCAGCTATTTCGAGTTTAACAAAGGGAAACGTACGAAAAAAGGTACTATATTGTGCCCGTTTTCATATATGGACATGTTAATTTCTTAACAAAGTAGTTCATGTGTTTTAATTTTATAATGACTGGATGAGCAATGAGTGCATTTTTGAAAGTGTCGAAATATTACAAGAAAAAACTTGGAGGTATGTAGGGGTGGATTCGGGTCGGGGCACCCGGCCCGTGAACCGGTCTGGCCCGCTACTGTGCGGGCTCGGGACCGGGTGGTTAACCGAACCGGGGGGGGGGGGGGGGGGGGGGGCAGCGGTTCCGGGCTCGGGTATAGGTTTTGGCGACCCAGCCCGGCCAAGTCGGGCCCGGGTCCCAACGGTTGGATTTAAAAAAAATCTTTTGGGCTCAAAAGAGCCGTTTGGCCCTTGACCCACAACCCCAACGGGCAAATGGCTATATAGCCGTTGGGTGGGTACAGGGGGGGTCTTTTAGGGGGGTGGGGGGGTTTAAAGAAAACCTATAATATTGTACAATTAATACTCCCTCCGGTCTCGATTAAAGTTCTCACTTTCCTTTTCAAGACGTCCCTTATTTAAGTTCACATTTCCATATTATGAAACAAAACAGAGTAAAACAGTTTCAAACAGTGCCAAACAGTGTCCAAACAGTGCACTCCACAGTAAAATCAAATTTATTTTCTTAATTTCTGTGAATTCAAACTGTGAACTTTAATAAGAACCGGAGGGAGTAGTATTTATCTCCATCTTCATCTCCATCTATTCTAGATTTCTAGTATTTATACAATTAATATTATATCTACCATTTTTAAGATGGAAAGTCAATATGTCGTACTCAAAAATAATTTTTTTAGGTGGAAGAACCCGACGACCGGGATGTCGCACGCAACTTGCTACTGATGCGGGAAAGTGTGTAGCTTGGGACTTTCACATGGTTACGGGATGACCAAGAAACATATTAAGTCCTGTGACAAAGCCAAAGACAAGTGAAATTCCGATTGATTATTAATTATATTATTATTTATTAGAAAATGTATTTCATATTGTATTTTTTTCTCAATTCTCAAATGTAGTTCCTATTTCAAATAAATGCAATTGAAGTTTGTTTTTAATATTATGCACTTGTATAAATAAGTAGCAAAAAAGGAAGAAAAAAATTATAGTGACCCGACCGGGCCTGGCGGGAAGCCTGGCCCGTGACCCGGCCCGAACCGGCACCGGCCGAAGGACGGACCGGTTACGGGCCCACCTATTCGTAACCGGCGGCCCGACCGGGCCTAAGCCCGGCCCGAGTCCAGGGGACCAGGCCTAGAGGTATGTCTCGTTTAGGGAACCTCTAAACCATTTTTATACTTTTGTTTCGAGTCAAACTTTAACGGTGGAAAGTTCACCATAAAACTAAAGTTAGCAAACTTTTAAAAAAAACAATTCAAACATTTATATATACAAATATGGGATGCACTCATGCACATTATGATTTACGGAAATGTACATTTATAGTTAAATTAATGCAAATTTCAACTCACACATTTACGTTTAAAACTTTTACACAATTGAAATACACAATTGTGCGAATATGCGATGCACTCGTGCACAATTGTTCAATTTTTACTATGCACATGTAAGTTTTACAGGATGCACGATACCTAAATTCAACATCCACAGAATCATTCACATTTCCCTCCTAAGATAATGTTCTCATAGGATCCCTCCAGATCATACCGATTCAGATCAAACCAGATCATAAAATCATAAAGTCTCATAGTAACTTAATTACGTAAATGTAAAAATTGAATATAAAATACTTAGTCACTACATTAAAAAATACTACCTCCGTCCCATTTTATGTGTCTTAGTTTGACTCGGCACTGTTATTAATTAAATGTTTGAAAAAGTAAAAGTTGTGGTTGAGATTTGAGTTTAATAAAGTGAAATGATGTAGACCACATATTTCTTTCCAAAAAAGGAAATGAGACACTTATTTTGAGACAACCCAAAAAGGATAGTAGGACAGATAAAATGGGACGGAGGAAGTAACATTTTTTTAAAACATATTTATTTTAATTGTATATATCTATTTTTTCGAATATATGTAATTGTTTTTGACTAAAAAAATCCTACGAAGTACTATCCTCCGTCTCTTTTTAATCGCAACATGTTGAATTTTACACTATTCACAAATTCTACTTTGACTACATTTTATATTATTATTTTATGAAAATTATTTTTTTAAAATTATACTACCTCCGTCCCCCTAAGTTTGGGACAAGAGAAGGTGGCACAGTTATTAATAAAAGTGGGTTTATGTGGTTGATATTGAATTGATAAAGTAAGAATAAAGTAAGAATGATTTAGAATCACACAAACTTTACCAAATAAGGTATGAGACAATCTTAGTGGGACGGACCGAAAAGGTAAAATGGGACAATCATAGCGGGACGGAGGGAGTATTGTTCAATTCATCTCATTACAAATTTTCAAAATCTAATTTTTAAATATTTTTTACTAATAGAGATTAAGATATAATTACGGTCAAAGATGTGCGTTGGCAAGTGTGAAATGTTGACCGTTGCAACTAAAAAAGAATGGAGAAAGTATTTATTACTACGTTGATAATTGCCTTCTTTATTTAAATAATAAAATAAAACAATCTACAGTCTACATCTCCAGTCAACACGGGACTTGTTTCTGCATTGAAGGTTTGCTTACATATCTTTGACTACCGTCCACACACACTTTTACGGATCTGTTGGAGAGAAGCCGCTTAACTCCCACACAATGGCGTCTGATAACAAATTGATGAAGAACGACCAATTAGTCTCCTCCATGATAAGGCAAGGCTTCATATACCACCATCCTTTCCTCTCTTCTCCATCTCCTCCGTCTAAAATCGCCGCCGCCGCCACTCTCTCACCTCCGCCGCCCAATCAGAGCCCGACCCTCTTCGAAATGATGGCCAAGGAGCAGCCTCCTAGCTTCAGGCAATCTCCGGAGGCTTGCCACCGAGCCCAAGAGCGAATCTCCCGGGTTCTGGCCCACGCGCCCTTCCAAAGCCCTACCAGCGCTAACCGCTATGGGGCAGGGGATGTCAATCTGACGGTGGCGGCGCGTGACGGAGGTCCCAAGGTTTCCATGGACGTTCATCGGAGGGTTCTGGTCGCGCGGAGCAGGTTCTTCGCGGAGAATCTTCGGCAGGATGGGTCCCACTCGGTGGAGATCCTGGATTGCGATGATGTTGAAGTGTATGTGGAGACTGTCGTTCTCATGTATTGTGAGGACTTGAAGAAGAAAATGATTGGCGAGGGGGTCTCTAAAGTCTTGGGTTTGCTAAAGGTATTGTCTTTACTACTTTTTTTTGTTTTTTTAATTTCTTTTAAGCTAATTATTATTATTACGGAGTATTTGGTTAGTTATTAATTGCCTCTTCCAGATTTTGGTAGCAAGCGAATACCATAAAAATAATAGTAATTATAATTGTTCTTATTGCTGTAATTATTATATTTATAACAGTAGAAGTGTAGAACTGTTTCTTATTGCTCCACTTGAAGAATTAAATTATTGTTTGCATTGCTGCTTGGGTCTTTTTAATTTTTGACAGATTAATTACTGGTATTACCTGGTAGGCTGGTACAGATTAAAAAACAGCTACAAATATATGACTAAAATGAAGGTAATGGACAAAAATGTGACTTTTTATACTATAGTGATTGTAATTGTAATTTTAGTGACCAACATTACGTTCTAATTTACATTATAATGATCTTAACTATATACTCATTGTAACTTAGTTACATTTTTGTCCATGTGTTTTATTATGGACAAAAAATGTATCTTAAACCTGCAGTGACCAACTGATCATGGCATTATCTTCAGAGTGACTATGATGATGTTGGTTTTTACAGTGCAATGGCCATGGTTATATTTTCAGTGTCTGTTTATGTAATGTTATAGGACAACTCATGTACCTAAGTGAATGATATATCTAAATATTTTTAGCATTTTGCGTGTAGGTGTGTTCGGCTATTGCTTTTGATGATGGAATAAGGGCTTGTTTGGAGTATCTGGAGGCAGTTCCATGGCATTCAGAAGAAGAGGAAAAAGTAGTCACTCTTCTGAATGAACTTCACCTCTCTGATTCAGCATCTGAAGATGTACTCCAGAGAATAGCAGTTTCTAATCCTTCAACTTCTTCTCCAGTGGGAACTGATGAAGTCTTTTTGAAGCTTTTTGCTAGCGTTTTACAGGCTAAAGATGACAAAGCCCGTAAAGAGATGAAAACAATGATTTCTAGGCTTCTTAAAGACGATTCCACTGATGTTCCTCAGGAGATTCTGTATCATATTTGTCATGAATGCCTTAATTCTCTGCTAATTTCCCTGTCTGAAGCACCAAGTGTGGATGAGAATATGAAGGACCGCGGAGCCATAATGGGCAGGATAGCTAGAGAGGCAGACAATGTTCATTGGGTGGCTGATATCCTAATTGAGAGAAAGATGGGGGACGAATTTGTAATTTTATGGGCGAATCAAAAGGAGGTTGCTTCTCTTCATTCAAAAACACCAACCATGTACAGGCATCACATCAGCAGGATCACATCACAACTTTGTGTGGCAATAGGTAGAGGAAATATTCTGGTGCCCAAAGGTGCAAGGTACGAGTTGCTAGTGACATGGTTGGAAGCACTTTATGAGGATTTCGGGTGGATGAGTAGAGCGGGTAGATCAATTGATAAAAAGGAGGTTGAGGATGGGTTGAGCCAAACGGTCCTTACTCTTCCGTTGCCCCAACAACAAGAAATCATGCTTAGCTGGTTCAAACGGTTTCTTAACAAAGGGGACGATTGCCCAAATATGCGGAAAGCATTTGAAGTGTGGTGGAGAAGGGCTTTCATTAATCAGTATGTGGTTGATTCTCATCAGTTACAGATAGCTCTTTGTGATTATCCAGGTTGATGGTATGCTCTACCATCTTTTCAAATTTAGAGATATGTACATATAGGATGACATTCTTTTTTTCTAACTTTATATATGTTCCTTTGTTATTATTATTTCCACTGAAATTATTATTTATAAATAAAATTCAAGGAAGAATAATGCAGCTCGTAGTCATCAAGGATAAATGGTAGTATTATATATTCCCATGTTGTAACCATCTAAATATTTCATTCTTTTATTGAATTTGTAGTGACTAAATTTCTTGACTGCAATTACATTAAACTCCTCAAATTCATGGAGGACAGAGCTCTATGTAAGAAATGTAATGACTATTTAGTGGAACTTGACTGTACCAGGTATCTTTATTACAAAAATGCACCTCATCTTCGATGCCCCCAGGATCGACGTTACTTTTTCGATTTCTTTGGCTTATGAGTTGTGGTTTGAACGATGGGGAAGCACTGAATTTATGGAATAAAATTTGGAAGTGGAAGGAAATGCAAAATGCCAAAGGAAACTTATTTTCTTGTGTTTTGCTTTACCATGGAGAATTAGATATGATGATTGATATTTTTAATCATTTTACATAGATTTAGATTATTTCGTTTCTATATGATATAAATGGATAAATAAAATCACTTTGGACAAATGTTATATTATTCCTCTTTCCTTCCAAATTTCCCTTAATCTTTCCTCTATTCGCGTTCTCTAGTCGTATCATTTCCCAAATTTCAAACCGAACTAATAAAGAGATCAAGAGAGTCGGGAAAAAATGTAGGAGAGATGATGACAAACACCAGGTTGTTGTTTTTCAATGAAGAAAATTTGTTGAAAATTTGTTGTATACTTGTATGGCAAAGCCATTCGATAAAAGATTGACACCTCTTGGTTTCAAATTTTTTCCTCAAATGGGGAGATGTTGATTGTTGTTCTCATAATCTTTCAGCAAATAATTGAGAGTAAAGAGATTAACAGGATGTGTTGTTTCCAATTATGTTATGGTGCATATATGACGTTATTCTCCATGAGGAAGAGATTATCCTCCGGTGAGGTCTTGAGGAAAATAAATGCTACATTAATGTGGGGGTGTAAATCCAAACAGGTAATAGGGCACTTAAAAGGAGGGTGTGGCTTAGAATTTCCCAAAAAAGGTTGGGTTGAAGTGAATGTTGACAACGGAAATGGCTTTGTAGTTTTGGCATGGAGATTGCCAACAGAGTAAATTTCTCCTATTAAACATGTGAACTTTGCTGGGAGCCTGGGATGCTTCAAGGTTGTGACTTGTGAGGGAAAATATTGAAATCGAAAATTTTGAAATTGTTGTGAAATGAAAAGATGAAGACTAAATTTAAGAGATAGATATATTATAAATAAGCTCTGAATAACTTCTTAATCTCTGAAATTTCTGAGTTCTCTGAATTGCTTTACAAGGCTTCATCAAGCTCCTATTTATAGTGGTTGATCTTGATGATTAGTCATCTAAAGGATGACTCTACAAATTTGGTGGCAATAACAAACAGAGCCATCTGTTCTAACTAGGTTACAAGGATTGACACTAGATTAGTGTCCTGATTACAAGGATTGAAATTTGATGACTAGGCTCATTACAAGGATGAATAATTCACACATGTAATTCCCATGATTTTACAACACTCCCCCTTGAATGTTCATCCTTGAGAATAGCTATTTGTATTTAAAAATTTATTGTGAAGATTAGTGTGAAATTTAAGGGGTAAAAATTTTGACTTATAATGTCATTGTATTTGGATGTACTGTCTCGTTAAAAACCTTATCAGGAAAAACCCAGTGGGATAAAAACCTGATGAAGGAAAAAAGAGTGTAGTGCATTCAAATACTCCCCCTGAATTTAGCATAAATTATGAAGGCGGCACATGCCGATTTTCTGTACAAGTTCTATGAACTTCTTCGGGGGTAAAGATTTGGTGAAGAGATCGGCCGGATTTTCACTCGATCTGATTTGTTGAATGTTGATTGTCCCTTCTTTCTCCAGATCATGAGTAGAGAAGAATTTTGGTGATATGTGCTTTGTTTTGTCTCCTTTGATGTAGCCTTCTTTAATCTGAGCTATGCAAGCAGTGTTGTCTTCGTAGATCACAGTCGGGTGACAAGTAATAGGCTTCATACCGCATTCATTTTGAATGTGTTGAATTATAGATCGCAGCCATACACATTCTCTTCCGGTTTCATATAGTGCAATTAACTCCGAATGATTTGATGATGTAGCTGTCAATGTCTGTTTCAAAGATCTCCACGAGATTGCGGTATTACCATAAGTAAATACGTACCCGGTTTGTGATTTTGCCTTTTGAGGATCTGATAAGTATCCGGCATCTGCATATCCGATTAAAGAAGCTGTAGCATCTTTGGGGTAGAATAGGCCGAGATCAACTGTACCGCGGAGATAACGGAATATGTGCTTGATCCCGTTCCAATGACGCCTTGTTGGGCATGAGCTGTACCTAGCTAATAAATTTACAGAAAATGCAATATCTGATCTAGTATTATTAGCTAAATACATTAAAGCTCCAATAGCACTCAGATATGGTACTTCGGGACCGAGTATTTCTTCGTCGTCTTCTCGGGGACGGAATGGATCATCGTGTATGTTGAGAGATCGAATGACCATTGGTGAAGTCAAAGGATGAGCTTTGTCCATATAGAATCTCTTCAACACTTTCTCGGTGTAATTGGATTGGTGGATGAAAATTCCATTCTTCAAATGCTCAATTTGAAGCCCGAGACAAAATTTGGTTCTCCCGAGATCTTTCATTTCAAATTCTTTCATAAGATATTTTGCAGTATTTTCAATTTCATCGGGAGTTCCAATAATGTTTAAGTCATCAACATATACTGCAATTATGGCGAATCCCGAATTAGATCGCCGAATGAAAACACATGGACTAATCGGATCATTCTTATATCCTTCTTTAAGAAGGTATTCACTGAGACGATTATACCACATTCGTCCAGATTGTTTTAGTCCATACAATGACTTTTGTAATTTAATGGAAAACATGTCTCGAGGTTTCGAGCTATAAGCTTCAGGCATTTTAAATCCACCGGGAACTTTCATATAAATGTCTGTATCAAGTGAACCGTATAAATATGCGGTCACTACATCCATTAGGCGCATTTGCAGCCTTTCAAAAACAGACATGCCAATGAGAAACCTTAATGTAGTTGTATCAACTACTGGAGAATAGGTTTCTTCATAATCGATTCCCGGCATTTGAGAAAAACCTTGGGCAACAAGTCGGGCTTTATATCTAACAATTTCATTTTTCTCATTGCGTTTACGCACAAATACCCATTTAAAACCCACAGGTTTTACGCCTTTTGGCGTAGGGACTATCGGTCCAAAAACATCACGTTTCTCAAGTGATTTTAATTCCGCATGAATAGCTTCATTCGATTTTGGCCAATCGTGTCGTTTCCGACATTCTTCAATTGATGTTGGCTCATTGTCATTGTTTTCATTCATAACATTTGTGGCAACGGCATAGACAAATATCTCATTAATATCAATATCTTTTCGATTCCATTGCATTCCAGTAGAAACGTAGTTTATTGAAATTTCATAATTTTCAACGTTTCTATCAGTATCTGGAATATCTTCCTCATTTAAGGAAGTTGAATCATTATTTGAGATGTTTGTTTTGTCAATATCATTTTCTATGCCAGTATTTTCAAATTGTTCATTTTCTTGTTCAGAAGGATGAACATCTTTGGCATCACAGATCAATTCCTGCCTTTTAGTCTTTCTTGGTTTTATGTCTTTTGATCCAAGTGGCCTGCCACGCTTTTTGCGTATAGAAGAATCGTTTGCGAGAGATTTTTCAGAATTCTCAGCTGGAATTTCAATTCTAGCAGGGGCATTTATAGCAGGAATATGTGACTTTGTCACTTTCTTTGTGTCTGTGAATGCATCAGGCAATTGATTTGCAACATTTTGTAAATGGATTATCTTTTGCACCTCTTGCTCACATATATTTGATCTAGAATCAAGGTGTGATAATCCTGTTGCATTCCATGTTATTTCTTTCGTACTTGGGTCTGATTTATTGGTTTCTCCCCCTAAGGTTGGGAATACTGTCTCATTGAAATGACAGTCAGCGAACCGTGCGGTGAATAAGTCACCGGTCATCGGTTCAAGATATTTTATTATTGAGGGAGATTCAAATCCAACATAAATTCCCAACCTTCTTTGAGGACCCATTTTTGTACGATGAGGTGGAGCAATCGGAACATAAACAGCACAACCAAATATTTTTATGTGTGCTAAGTTTGGCTCTTGTCCAGTAACTAATTGCATTGGGGAATATTCATGATATGCAGTCGGTCTAAGCCGAATTAAATTTGCTGCATGCAAAATAGCATGCCCCCAAGCTGATGAAGGTAAATTACACTTCATTAATAATGGTCTAGCGATTAATTGTAATCGTTTAATCAAAGATTCAGCAAGACCATTTTGTGTATGGATATGAGCAACAGGGTGCTCCACATCAATCCCAATCGACATACAATAGTCGTTAAATGATTGGGAAGTAAATTCTCCTGCATTATCAAGTCGGATTCTCTTTATAGAATGATCCGGGAAATGAGCTCTTAATCGTATAATTTGAGCAAGGAGTTTAGCGAATGCTAAATTTCTAGTCGATAAAAGACTAACATGTGACCAACGTGTTGAAGCATCAATCAACACCATAAAATATCGAAATGGTCCACATGGCGGGGCTATCGGCCCACAAATATCTCCTTGAATCCTTTCTAAAAATGCAGGTGATTCAGTTGCAATTTTGTTCATAGAAGGCCTGATGATCATTTTGCCAAGAGAACAGGCCTTACAAGGAAAATCCCTTGATATTGGAACCCTTATATTCTTTAATGGGTGTCCAAGTGAAGTCTTAATGATTTTATGCATCATTACATGGCCTGGGTGACCTAAACGGTCATGCCACAACATGAATGTTTTCTAATCATCTAACTTTGCGTTAGAAACCAAATTTATTTCGAATGGACTAATATGAGTGAAATATAGTCCTGAGGAATATGCTGGCATTTTTTCACAAATACATTTAGTGCCAGATTTAGTTGTCGTTAGACAAAGATATTCCTTTTGGTTTTCATTCATGGTTTCTATGTGATAACCATTTTGACGCATATCTTTAAAGCTTAATAAATTTCTCCGCGATTTGCTGGAGTATAAAGCGTCATTTATAAGTAATTTTGTCCCATTAGGGAGCATCACATATGCTTTCCCAGAACCTTCAATGAGCTTCGCAACACCTGATATTGTATTGACTTTAGCTTCAACTAAAGTCATTTGAGAAAAATAGATTTTAATCCTCAAAATGGTGTGCGTTGTGGCGCTGTCTATCAGACATAGCTCTTTATCACTTGAGTGATCCATATCTTCAATATATAAATAAGCATAAGTTTGATATGCAAGTAACACAAATTATGCATCATATATAACATTAAAGTACATATATTACATCATTATTTATGAAAACAACATAAAGGTAACCTAAAGAAAAAGTACACGATGACATAAAAGTCTTATAATTTATTTTGTGTTATTTTGATCAGTGACAAATGCATCATCCATTATGCTATCATCCATGAAGAAGTCGGACACATCAAATTTTGGCAGAGATGGAGTTGTGTCATTGACATAATTCGCTTCCACATTTTTGCCTTTGTTTAAATTCATGGAAGCTTGAAATAACTCCACAAGATGCTTTGTAGTACGGCATTTGTTAGCCCAGTGTCCCGTCATGCCACATTTGTAACAAGTCGTTTTCACCGAGGTTTTTGTAGGGCGATTTATTTGATGGGCGTTTTGTTTGCCCTTGCCCTTGTAATCCGGTCTATCGACCCGTTTATATCCTCGATTGGACTTGTTATTATGATCCTTAAAATGCCCACGTTTAAAATGTCTTCTACTGCCACTGTGTGTTGCATTTGATTCAATGGCTAAATTATGGCCAGATGGACCATAAATAGAAGGACTAGAACCAGTGGGTCTCAAATTGTGATTTTTCATCAAAAGGTCATTATTTTGCTCAGCTACCAATAATACTAATATTAAGTCGGAGTATTTTTTAAAACCTTTTTCTCTATATTGCTGCTGTAGCAGCATATTAGAAATATGCATTGTAGAAAAGGTTTTCTCCAACATATCAGCATCAGTGACTTTTTGTCCGCATAACTTTAGTTTAGATGTTATTTGGAACATGGCAGAATTATAGTCACTGATTGATTTAAAATCCTGGAATCTTAAATTGATCCAGTCATACTGAGCTTTTGGCAAAAGTACCTTTTGTTGGTGGCCATACCTCTCTTGTAAATTGTCCCATAATTCTTTTGGATCATCAACCAAAAGATATTCAGATTTGAGACTTTCATGGAGGTGGTGACGGAGGAAAATGATAGCTTTCGCTTTATCTTGAGAAGATGATAGATTATTGGCTTCAATTGTATCTTCTAAACCATTAGCCTTAAGATGTGCCAGAGCATCGACTTTCCATTCCAAATATTTTTGACCAGATAGATCAAGAACGTCGAACTCTCTTTTACTACTATTTGCCATAATATACTACAAAATTTAATTAAATTTAGTTAGTATACATTATAGAGATTATATCAAATGATATAATTGAATATAGTATTTTACCGGGAGTATGAACGAAGTTTTATTTTGTCTAATTGATATTCTCTCTTCTACGTACTCTTTAATTTTAAAACATATTTATTCATTCAAATATTGTAAAAAAAATGTAGTCCATATTTCCGCCACTTCAATTCAAAGAGTGTTGTATATACTTGATTTACTTTTAGCATTCAACCAAACGGTCGATTTTGTTTTTATACTGCCCGTGAGTCTAACTATTAATACGAGGCAAGACAAATTTATTCAGACTGATATAGCCTACTTGCTATTGCAGGAAGTCTGACCATTTTAATATCACATGTATCAATCCGTAATATCTAGTTGATATTTGAATAGTCTAGAACCTAAAAACAACACTCTAGTTTTGTCATTACAATATTTTAATTTATATTATCAAATCATATCCGTGACTTGCATTTATTTAACTTCAGCAATAACTTCATCTTTATATTCAGACCATTTCTCCTTTATCTCTTTACTCGGTTTACCCCTTCCACTATCTTTCTTTTGTTTACTACTCCATTACACAATCTCCTACGTTGCTATATATCAAGTATGAAGTATAATCTCTTAAGTCATTTAGTATTATTCTTAAGCTATCATTTTACAAGACGGAGTTATGTATCAAGAGAAAAACGTCTTGATGAAGCCTTAAACGGTACGCTTACTTTAATTCTTTCAGTACAATCATATGTATGATTTTAATTATTTGGAAAAAGCTTACTTTCAAAGTTTGAATACGCGTTTATCATGCATGCATGCATGATTTGCTCAAGATTAAAGAAGATAAGATAATACTCCGTATTAATGTTAATACCTGCAGGAGATGATGATTGGTGATAAATTTGAGCTGATTTCTTGGAGAATTTTGAGCAGATTCGTGCTGATAACGTGTTGTGAAATGAAAAGATGAAGACTAAATTTAAGAGATAGATATATTATAAATAAGCTCTGAATAACTTCTTCTTAATCTCTGAAATTTCTGAGTTCTCTGAATTGCTTTACAAGGCTTCATCAAGCTCCTATTTATAGTGGTTGATCTTGATGATTAGTCATCTAAAGGATGACTCTACAAATTTGGTGGCAATAACAAACAGAGCCATCTGTTCTAACTAGGTTACAAGGATTGACACTAGATTAGTGTCCTGATTACAAGGATTGAAATTTGATGACTAGGCTCATTACAAGGATGAATAATTCACACATGTAATTCCCATGATTTTACAACAGAAATGAACTTCAATGTTATTCTCAATATTATGTAATGGAGGCACTCAAAGTATAAATGACAATTGACGCATTAGGGATATTTTCTTTTGGACTACTTTCGGTCAAGATCAGATCAGACTTAAACAGACCAGATCAGACATTCATAGTTATAAAATACACAAACACAAGATATTTAATAGAACAAAAAAGTTCAAACCAGACCAGTTCAAATCAGACCAGCAAATTTCAATCCCAAAAAACATCCTAGGTCATGTATTTGTTGGTCTACATGTTTACAATAACACTTCCGGGTAACAAATACTCCCATTTGGGGGAGGATGAAACTTTTTTTTAATTTTGCATATTTTTACTCCTATTTTAGAAATTTTCCAAATTTATTACAGAATATATTATACTTGTGTATTCTTTTGATATGCAAGACTGCAAGTACATGAAAACTTAGCACCGATCTTATGATAACATGACTATGGGATTAACAGACTTGCACGATATATGCTCCACAGTTCCTGAACGTAAATGTAAGTTGCATTTGAGTTACACAGTTTTAAATGATTGATAAGGAAATTACGAGTAAAAAAGTTAGTGCTATTCAATTTAGAAAAGCTTTCACATTTTTGAACCAAAAAAGTGTATTACAAAATTGGAACATATGGACTGGAGTATGCAATTGTTAAGCATTTCCTTATACCAACCAATACCTAGTCTTGGACTCGGGTCGGGCCGCCCGGCCTGGGACCGGTACTGTTTGGACCCGGCCCGGCCCGGCCCGGTGACCCGCTACAATCCGGTTTGGGTAGGCCTGGCCCGCTGGTTAGGGAAGGGCGGGCTCGGGTCAGCTGAATATGGAACCGGCCGGGCCGGGCCCCGTTCGGGCTTTATTATTATTTTTTATTTTATTTTTTCAATTTTTTTTAAACCCAAGTTGGGCTGGGTATTTTGGGCCATTTGCGGTGGTTTGGGGGGTGAGGGGGGAGGGTCGGGGGTTAATTAGAAAAAGGAAAAAAAATGCAAAGTGGCCCGAGGCCCGGCCCGACCCGGACCCAATGGCAACCCGGGCCGGTCCCGGGCCTTCCCCCAAACACAAAAGGCCCGACCGGGCCTAGGCCCGGCTTGGCTCCATGCCTACCAATACCGCACACAACTTGTTTGTAAGTTATTTGGTTAAAATAGTCGAATCTATTGAATTTCATCAAATTCTATATTCAACCAAACAACTAAATTGAAAGATAGATAGTATTTATTTTGGTCTTGGCAATGTTTTAAGTATTAATGCTCATAAGCATTATGCCAACCAAACGGGCTTGAAGACACAGAGTTATCAATTCATGTTAGACCTGTTGAGAACGCAAGACCATTTCAAATAGAGAAGCCAACCAGCATTATGATTATTAATAATAAAACAAAATTTGAATTGCTGAACTGGCGTGGTTAGAAGTTCATAAAAGGCACACAAACACTGATATATGTATATAGACCAAACGGTCCAAACAAATGTATCTTTTGTGATTATTTATTGTATTTTTTTTAGATAAATACTCCCAGGTAAGGGATTTCAAGCTACATAAAAATGACCAAAGAAATAAGGCTTGTTTCAGTATCTCTGTGTCTTTGTTACAGTTACAATTGCCTTCAAGGTAAGCATTCTAACAAACCAGTTCAAGTGAATGTGGTAACCTTCTGGAGATGTTCAACGCATTCCGAACACATGAATAATAAGTTCTCATAAGTCATTAATTTAAATCCTCTAAGGAAAGTCAACGGAGGTTTACCAGATCATTAACTTCAGAACCACAAGACTACTCGGGCCAAAGATCCCGGGCACCTGCATTACAGAAAATGAATCTGTGGTTCTCCTTTCATGGTTTGTACATTAATTTGTACAATTCGAGCCCTCCTCTATGGCAGCCTGGCATTTTATATGCCATACTCTCCATATCGCTCTGATCAATCCATGAAAAAACAAAAGTCAATAAATGAAAAATATTACTTCAGAGATATGACAATCAGAGTAAGTTTGAGATGTATGACGAAACACCACATAGGGAAACAAACTCACCATTGAAACCGCCAGCAGTTGGGTCGATTCAAAACTATCTTCCGCATTGCTGTACAGATTCTGAATTTCATTCACCTGAAGGTTGCATTTTATGAAGAAAAAAGCAGTTGGTCGAACATTCATCAGCCTCTGCGATACGCCAATAAATATTGGAGCGGACTGCATTTTTTAAAATAACAAAAAAATCAGGAACAAAATTAAAAAAAAACAAGAAAAAAAGAGAGGTTCTACATACTAGATTAACTGCAGGAACTCCAGTTTCCTCAACGACCTCACGGACAATGCTATCAAACATTTCTTGAGAAACTTTTCTGTTTATTATCTCACTGGGATTCAGCTCTGTGTCATTCTTATGGCATGTCACTCCGACCTCATTGGGCTAGTAAGTAGCAAATTTCGTTTAATGATTCGACAAACATAGATAAATATATAAAGTGCAGCTAGCTAATACACATAGGGGAGCATTTCAGTTAGTATTTAGTGTGTAATCAACGATTTCCAAGTATATATAGCATTACACTGTAGAGAACATGGCAAGCTATGCTTGAATGTTCAAAAATAGAACATGACTGTAAGACTGAGAATCTAAAGGGGCTTTCCAACACTAATTAGTTATGGCACAAGAGGATTTCATATACCTCTGGGTGGCCACCTGGGAAAACAAAATATCCTGGAAATTCTCCCACATTATTACTTCTTCTAAGCACAAGTATCTTTTTGTCAGACGTCTCAACAACTGCTCCATTGCCAAGAGGACTCGATGTGTGCTGACACTGCCAACAATCATCTAAAATGAAGCAAGGACTTGTTTTTAGAACATATCAGCATTTTATGATAATATAATAACATTATTGCCCAAACTCTTTTTTTTTCATTACTCCAGGGGGCATTTGGGGGAGGGGGGCTGGGGAGCCTGGAGTAATCAGGGCTGAAACTCACTCCATTGAGTTTTGAACCCGAGACCTCCCGTAAGGGAGAGTGAGTCGGTGACCAGCTGAACTGGACCACTTCCTCTCATTGCGCAAACTCATGTGCAGCAGAGAAATGACTTGTCCAGTGAAGATTAAGCATGAAATGCGACATCTCTTGAATAAGTAACATGGGGATGCTTGACCGAAGTATGAAAATTTATCATTAATAAATTTTTTCAAAAGTATGATTCATGATTAAAGACAGTTGTACAATACCAAAACTAAAAAGTTGTACATTGACCAAAACCTTTTTTGGGGACGCAGGTAGTATCTTTTAGGATTATTAGCTAAATATATCTCCAACTATCATGAAATTCACAAATCTATCCCATACTTTCACTTTTATTAAAAAAAAGTCTCAAACTTCAACTTTTTTCACAATTACACCTTCAATGGATGAATTCGTAAAAATTAAGAAGAAAATTATATTTATATTTCATATTTTTCACTTCTTTCTAGTTTTAAGCTTACAAAACTGTATTGCTTATATCTTATTGGTATTGATAAAAATGTGTAATTTTGAAAAAACAAAAAAGAAAAGCATAATTGTTGAAAACATGAAGTTTGAGTCTTTTATTTTTGATAAAAATGAAAGTGTGGGATAGATTTGTGAATTTGATGATAATTTGGGATAAAATAAGCTAATAATCCTATCTTTTACCTTTCAAAACAATACAAAAAATGTTTTACATTTCATATTTACCTTCAGATTGAACAAGAAATTTTTCCCACAAAGGACTTAAGTTGGTGCCCACAAATGTCCTGCAAAGATAAGGTTATACTTTTGTAAGATAACCCCTTTCATGGTTTCTTATGTTGACTAAAGGGGCAAAAGAAAAATTGCACATTTCAATAACTCTTAAATGTAAAAGAACATCCAATTGGACATGAATAGAAAGAGGCCTAATCCATTGTTACCCTTCTAGAAATAAGCAACAAAAAAAATATCCATTACAGGCTTCCAGCGAATAAATAGAGGGGAGAGACATTGAGAACCTATAATCCGTCAGACCAAGATGAAGGCAAACATGGGGCTCTTGCTGAGAATCACTGACAGAACTGAAAGTGTGTCCTCCATACTGAAAGAATAAGTACTTTTCAAAAGAAATCTATGGTTCCCAATCCATTAATGGAAACGTTCTGATAGTAACAATCTAACAAAATCTAAGGTTCTCAATTCAGGATGTCAAAGTCTTTTAGTCTAGACCACCACTGTTCCCCAAGAGGAAATTGCATTTGCAAAATTAAAAAGCAGACGTACTAGATGACATTCATAGTTTTTGAAAAAATGTGACACACCAGACAATTGATAAAACAAATCAAGTATGTTCCCTAAACTGCAATATCTGCAATTTGCAAACCATAGAAGCCAGTAGCTGCATACCCTGAACTTTAGACCATTGAACAATGATGGGCTTTGCTGAACTCTTTGGTCCCATACCTAACCAAAAACAAAAACAACCAAGAACAGGCAAGACATTACCTCAGTATGACATACACTATCTGTGTGGTTATTGAAAAAGAACATTAAGGAACAATGTTTAGCATGAGACAAATAAAACAAATGGTCCTGTTTTGCGCACTTAACTAGATAAAACTAATGAATACTAAATACTGTAAAATACGGTAAAAGTAAAACTAATGATTTTTAGTTCAATTTTTGTAATATTTGATTCAAATGCTCAATATAAGCAATCAAGAACTTATGTATATATAATTATAAACACAACACATGAATACTAAAGAAAACAAGCTAAGAAAGAAGGTATAACATTGTTCAGATATGGAGTTCCATCTTAGAAAGTACTTCTAGCTGATTTCTTATCCTGGTAATACCACATTGGTTAATATTCACAAAATATACAGCACAACTATGTCCGGTTCATAAAGGTAGAATAGATCAGAAACGATGAAATGCTAATATAACCTCCGAAATGGAGCTCTCCAGTGAATGATCTCGATGCGGAGTCCTATCGTACAATGGTTCAAAAGCCACGGACATCTTCATTTGTTCAAAATCAGCAGACTGAAAAATTCGTCTAACAAAAATAGAAATGCCGATAGTTGAAAGTTAAGCCATATACCTGAGAAGGGGAAATACCGGAGGGGCACGAGAGCAGTAGCCTGAACTCGTTACCTTCAATTCTCTTTTCCATCATTAAATTGAGTTGATTAATTTACACTCTTCTTTCAGCTGTACATCCAGTAGTTCGTGAGACTTTGGAGTAAAATAAAAGGAAACACCGGAGGTTCTGTAGCAATGATCCTTCGATGAGGTGGCGAAGGCACGCAGCTGATATGAGTTTTTTCTCAAAACAAGGTTAAACAAAAATATTTAACCATGTTGATTTGAAATTTGTTGATCAGGTCCAGGTCTGGTATGGTATGATTTGGTTTGATCTGGTCTGAACCGGTCTGGTCTGTTAGTACCTGGTCTATGTGTATTTATAACTATGGAAGTCAGATCTGGTCAGGTCAGGTCAGATCAAGTCTGATCTGGTCTGAGATTGAAAACAGTCCAAAAGAAAATATCCTAGAAAGTCAATTTCCTTAAGTTTTTTCATTGAATATTATGTAGTACTACATCCGTCCCGCTAAGATTGTCTCATTTTATCTTTTCAGTCTGTCCCACTAAGATTGTCTCATACCAAATGTGGTAAGGATTGTGTGGCTCTAAATCATTCCTACTTTATTCTTACTTTATCAATTCAATATCAACTACATACACCACTTTTTATTAATTTGCGTGTTACTTTCTCTTGTCCCATTGTTAGTGGGACGGAGGGAGTATTAAATAAAAGTCAATTTCAAAACACCTGACTATTTCTACAAAAGGACAAAAGTGTGACTAATAAGATTGTACATTTGGAAATAATTATCTCACTTTCACATTTCATGTCACTGTCAGGTGTCTCTGTGGTCATCGCTTGTGTCACTGTCGTCACTGCCAGTGTCACTAATACCGTGAAACATGTCACTGTGATCGTCGAAAAATGTTCCTACGACATTTCCTGACGAAACAATGATTTTTATGAAAACGGTGACTTCCCCTTCCCATCCCCACGCCCCAACACCCTAGTTGTGCCCCTGTCACGCCCAGCCTCTAATCCACCACTAGCAATGCTCCACAATCCATGATTGGCCCCCAGCCACGCTCCCAAGCTCCAGCCCCGACGCAACCCACCATTTCTCCCAGATCTGGATGATTGTTGGTCGCCATCCGACGAGATGTGGCGAGGCATGGTAAAGAGGCGGCGAGGCATGGCATGGGGTAGAGGCGGCTAGGTGCGGCGAGGCGCGATGAGTCGAGGCGCGACGTGGCGGCGAGGCGCGGTGAGGCAGACCAACGAGTTGGCACAACAATGGCTATAGAAAATCGGTGAAGGGGAGAAAAGAGAAAGTGCAACGGGTTGGGACAGATTGACTGATTGGATGGAGATAAAAGGTCACTTTTCTGTCCAGCTTTATTTTCCGAAAGGAAAACCCACTTATTTTAATTAGACCATCACTGACAACAATTATATGTAACCAACTAGCACTATCAACAACGATTAGTCCTGAAAGAGCAATACGAATTGCTATCCACCAAATGGGTGTGACACAACAATCAATGGTCATATAGATCCTTCTAACGACATAATATCTAGCAGAAATGTCATTCCTAATTGTAGACCTCAAACTAAAAACATCAACAAAAAACAGAGCAACATAAACAAATTAAACTTACCGTGAACGTAAGATCATAAAAAGTAAAATAATTGACAAATACTCCAAGCTTCTTTTTGCTAGTATTCTTGAAGTATCATCTTTCAAATCCTAACGCCTCGATCGCTCCAGGGCGGCGTTTCAGAAGAGGGGGAGAATCGTCGATCTCTCTTCTTCCTTGCTCAGAATTCGATCCAGAAATTGCCTCCCTCAAGCACCCCCAATCCAGTCGCCCCATCTATTGGTCCCCTACATACACCACAATCCCAACCGCCCCCCTCTGACGGACAACCTGTGCAGAACTGACCAGACAATTTTCTAATCAAAGGTATCAATCATAGACCTCCAGATTCGATCCTACTTAAAAATCGTCATATTTTTAGCCTGTAACACCCCAAAATCCGATCTAGCCGATTTTGTATAAGTTACCTCATCCAATTCAAAAGATATAAAGAAAAATACTTCAAATTGTAAATATATGAAAAGTTGTACAAGTTTAAATTTACGGATAATTAGATAAAATAGTTATCAAATATATAAATAAAAGTTAATTATAAACTAAACTAGTTAAAAGTTAAAACAAATTAAAAGAGGTTAGTGGCATGGAAAGCAATATGCTAAACTAAAATACGTGTGTTACATACTAAAATCATCAAGGACACGTGGCACGTATAGGACACTAACCAAAACACTCTTGGACACTAGCTAGGCAAAATCATGCAGTGAGGCACTTGATATAATAATGAGATAATGAAACAAAAGTTGCCTCCATTCGATTTCCCTTACACATTTCACCCATGCATGGAGTAAAACAAATTAATAGCTTATTCCCCACACTGTATATAGTTCGATGGGCAGTGAGCCTAGGCCTAGGATCCAAACTAAAGAAAACTTAGAAGACATGAGAGAATGTAGGAGTGGGTCTTCAGGCAGAATTTGAATACCAACAAGTTTATTCTTCTAATCCTTCCGACCAGGGCCGTCTTTTAGGGATGCAATAGGTGCTTGGCACCGAGGACCACTCTTATAGGGAGCCTCCCAAAAAGTTAGTATGTAATAGTAGTTATAGGTTGATTTTTTTAGTGTTATGTATTATTTTCATATTTCAAAAGGTCTATAACTTTTACAATCTTTAAAAATCCCTTAGATTTTCTAGTTTGTGTACTTTAACATTGTAGACGTTTGGATAACAACTTTTTTGTACAAAAATGCCATTTTTGTCCAACAGGTTTATATTTGTAAGTATGACATGCATCAATACAGTTTGTTTAAACATTTAAAACATGTCAGTAAAACATATTGCATATTATCATCATAGATGTCAAATTTATGAGAAGCATCATGCATCATTGTTGAGCGTGTAGTTTTTCTACACGTAGGTGAGTATGAGAAGCATGTTGGAGCCCCAGAAAAATGAGACATCTGGATGAGAGTGCATTTCTCAAGTCCAGCATGATCGTGCCAGGCTTCCAGTAGCTCCACGCGAATTTTTACTTTGAGACACGATCGTGCCTCCTTCTAGGCACGGTCTTGCCTAGCCTGTTATTTACCGTTTCTCAAGTCCGAATTTGACAATACTTCATGAAAGCTTTAGATAATGAAGTCCTCTATCCACCACAACTTGCGGAATTGGATTTGAATCATCCAATCAAGAGATATGAAAACAATGGTGGAAGGTGGCATTCTGAAATCGCAACAGAGATAATCTGACTTCATCGTCTGTTTTCACCTTGCTTCTCTCCGATTCTTGAAATGGTGTCTTTATATGATTTGTATCCCTTGAAGTTAGCTTTCATATGCAACTTGAATCGTGTCCTTTGGATGCTTCTACAAAGAGATATGCTTGAACGATTGACAGAAGGACATCCTGATCGCCGTTTTCTAGCTCTATTCATCTTATTTTGATCACGTAGTCAATTCAAGAGCTCTTTTGTCATCAAATCTTCATCGTAAACCTCCCGGTGACCTCCAAAGCTCTCAAATCAATCTCGAATGCTTCTCAACTCGACCCGATTGCTCCTCAAGTGCCGGTTCCGGACTCTAAATTCCTTATATTGACTTCAAACGGCATAAAACTTGAACCAACGCCCGATAAACATAACTTGAGCTAAAATTGAGATTTGTAACACCTCAAAGCTAGAAAAACCATCAAAAGCCAATCTCAACACGCATCAAATGCGTGTTGAAATACGGGCCTATCAAATTCCCCCACAATTAAGCTTTTGCTTGTCCTCAAGCAAACTGAACAACGAGACTTACGATAATCACCACAAGGAATTAAAACAATTAGCATGCACATGTAGTTAAAGGGATATTCACAGAACAGACAGACTAAATCAAGAAAATTCTTCCATAAACTACATCTTTGTATTCAAGCTAAAATATTTGAGAAAATTATTCACAACATCCTCAAAGTAGTGACAGCAAGCACTAATAAACTAGCTACCGATCAGAAGGACTTGTGAAGGCGGTGGTGAATGGTGAATGATAATAAGCAGTCCCTTTCTTGAGAGTTTGGAACATCCTAACAAAGACTTAATGCATTTAGAAATTTTGGGGCTATCCTTAGGATCGGAGAACTTAGTAGGCCACAATTTAGGAAAAATCATTTAAACCTATGTAAAGTAGGGGTGGGCACGGTCCGGTCCGGTCCAATATATGGCTGAACCCGTACCCGTACCGTTACTATTGAAACGGTTCGGTACGGTTCGGTCTTAGACCCAAACCCGTTCGGTACGGTCCATTTTCAAACGGGACGGTACCATGCCATATCAATACCAAACAATGTCACTTTTTCCAGGTGTTTAAGAAAAAATTCAAGTTTAGCCATCCTCCAAAAAATCCAAACAATTTATCAATTTTCATATATCATACTACCTTCGTTTCAAATTGATTTGCAAAGTCAATCTTTTTTGGTCAAACAATTTCTTTTTATTCACTTAATTAGAATTTCACTTTTTAATTATATTCTAATTTAATCTTTCACAAAAACTACTCCGTACTTCGTATATTTTAATTTGGATTTTGCAACTTTAGAGAGATTTTAATGTGGTTTCTAAATATGTAAATTTTAATTATTAAAAATTGTATTAATTATCAAGAACTTAACATTAACTTTGACAAAAAAATGTTGGCTTTACAAATCAATTTGGGACGGATGAGGTAATTAATATATTTTAGATAAACTATAGTAGTACAAATTTAATAAACCATACTTCGGTCCGGTTCGGTCCGGTACCGGTTCTCATTTTATGAGAACCGGTCATGGCATTGTTTGGAACCGGTTCGGTCCGGTTCGGGACAAAAAATTTTGAGATCCGTTTCAAACCCCGTTTATCGGTCCGGTACCATACCGGTCCGGTTCGGTATCATGCCGGTTCGGTATTTTTGCCCACCCCTAATGTAAAGAGTAGACATGGTGTCCAACTAAGCTAAACCGCCACAACACATTTGTGCTTTGACGTATACTTGAAGTTCGCGAAGGAATAAAGCAAATTTTTGAAATTACCTCCAAGTTCATTTAATTAGGTTCAGTTTTCCTTGTCATGTTGGTACGAGAACGCCATTTGTTTCAAAAGATACCCAAGTCTCATCTTATTGTGCGAACACTTA